TGTGTGGATATCCTTAACTTCGTAAGAACAGATCTATATTTTATTCTACATAAAGTACTCCCAATATTCAAATTGGTCCTTTAAATGTTTATATACATGTAATACTTGATTACATCAGGTTGTTTTCATACTAAATCAAGCAAAGTACTGATTTTAAGTATTATCAACTGAAACTGATCAGTATCAGTAAAAGCAAGTAAAACTATGACATCATCCATAATTAACACCTATTGATCCAATACTGAATGATGGTCCAGTTAAGGTCAATTAAGTTTTATTATCATAATGGTTCTAGAAACTATGAAAATGAAAATAAAAAAGCTACATTGATTTTCAATAAACAATAAAATCTCATAAAATAAGCGTAGGCATTATTTCACTAGTTCTTGTGTACTGTACTTTTATGACAGTTATGGAAAGAAGTAAACAAACAAAAATCATTTAATCTAAGTTAACAGCAACAGTTTTAGGATTTATAATTTGCTAAAGTTTTTTTATATGTTTTTGAAATCCAAAAAACTGAGATTAAAAAGCAACCATTTGTAATATCAGGAGAAACATATTCTTTTGAAAGGCTTTATCGTGCATTTCAACTACAATAAAATATAAAAAGAAGAAATTTACAAGAAATATAAGAGCGTTGCCCCTTGAAATATGCATTCACAGTATATAAATGAATGTCCCTAAGCCATAAAACATTCATCATATAGATCATTCTGGTGACAGAAAACATAAATTCCTTCTCTAATTATTCCATGATTCATTTTATTTGATTTTATTCAAGTTCTGATAGAACGACCATGCCTTGTATAACGCAACAATGAAACGCTGATTTTACAGTGATGAGGAATATACCTACAGAGATATATATCGCAGTTCGCATACAATACAATACAATTTTTCCTTAATATTCAAACTTTATTCATAATTCATTGCATTCCGATCACCCTGCCCCCAATTATTCAAAATCGCCCTTATCCATCCGAAATTTTACGGAATTGGCCGAGAAGTTACTATTCGTAAAGGGATTTTAGTCAGTTAAGAAACCATACGATAGTAATTTTATATGTGCATTTTCATTTTGTTTTGAAATAAATCATACTTATTTATATTTATTAATTTTCTTTTGTGCGGTATGTAGAGGAACGATCAATCGCGATTTTTTTTCTATCAAAAAATCTTTCAAAAGACTATCTTCATTCATAACTATTCACATTTTTAATGATTTATCATTTGACCTTTGTTAATCACTATTTCGTAATTGTAAAATGAACCAATATTCGTACGTTCGAGTTCGTGAAAAGTTTACAATACATACAGTTTTAAATCTTCATGCTCTTCTCTTGTTGTATGAGCTTGTTACTTTCGTGCTGATTTTTGGTAAACAACATTTTGCTATATTTACAGATAAGTGTACAATCGATATAATTTTCAAATTATTATCGCGATTATTACTAATACACACGAGATATTATCTGGTAACAATCGACTGTCAGCTGCATTTGACCACGCATTATATATAATTTACGAAAATCAATGCAATTTATACGTCTGGATTGTTTGCAAACAACAAAAATAGAACAATAATACCTTATATTGACGTTGTGAAATCCACTGACGAAGTTGTCTCCCTTGACGAAACTATATATATATATATATATATATACATATATATACATATATATATATATATATATATATATATATATATATATATATATATATATATATATATATATATATATATATATATATACATATCTACATATGACGATGTTTTCTCAGAATTTGTCTCCCTTGAAGGTAAACATGTGTATCATCCCCTTGCAATGATATCATCTGCCATTTTTATAGTAAAAAATAATCTCTTTGTAAAACATTCTTCTGAATTAATTAAATATTAAACAAATACGACGTCATGAGTGTAGAATCCACGTGTATTAAAATTTGGCATAATTATGATACATAATGAATTAATGATTACAGCGTTAAACATAATTATAAGGCAATAAGCCATGGGCTGTAAGTATGACTGAATAACCCTTTCTCTCTGGCACTTGAAGCTTTTACTATTATAACTCGATATTTTACAATTGTTTCACAGGGGTTGGGTTTGTGTCCTTATACAATGTTTAATGGATTATTTGCGTCGGTGGTGATTTGTATAAATATTAGCATTGTTTCAGGATTTCGCGATACCATTTTGTCTATTGTCCACTATAACAATTGGATGTCACGTATAATCTATATATCCCATTAGTTGATTCATTACTACCACAAATATTTGCACGGTGTGTGTCACTTTTGATATTAATTGTTTTCATGTAATCAATATTGAAATAAAGTAACAGTAACATGAGCTACAAAGCGTATTTCATCCTATTATGAGCATAATTTTTTGTATCTATTTTAAATTTAGCGTTATAGAAATAAGAAAAGAAATATGAGAATCCATTTTGAAATGTGCAGCGAGGCAGACGTTCATCGCATGTTACAGAGTAATGGACTCGGGAATGTGTTTAGTTCAATTTTAAGTTTTTGTGAAGAGCCTCAAATTGCAAACAATTAAAGAGGTCAACCTGCTACATGGCCGCCATCAATTAATAAAAAGCCGCATAAGTTCTTGTTCGAAATATCTGCACCCAATTTCAAATATAGAATAAAACAGAAAAGAAAAGTAAAATAAGTAATTTGAAGCCAAACGTAAACGTGAGACCAGGACTTATTATTAACAACATAATTGTACATGTCTTTCAATTTCATGTTATCCGTTAAGCACGTATGATAGTTAGATGGCAACATTATACCTACCTGTAGATAGAAGAGTAAAGGCACCGATTTTTATCGTCGAAATATTGAAACTAAAACGTTTAATGTCGACATGGATAAAATGTTACTTTTTTCCATTGATATTATATGAAAAGTTAACAACGCTTGCATCACCAGTTTAGTTTTAAATAGTATGGTTATACGTTTTTCGTGGTAAGAATTTTAACCCGCTTCACCTTCCCATCCATATTACCACACACGCGCTAAATTTACCAAGCTCTGAATATTGAACAGTTCATTTGAAGTTAAGAAATTTCATTATCAAAATGCAGAAATTGAGCTACCAGCTATAGAACCTGACTAGACTTCAAGGAAGACCAGTCTGGTCTATTAACTGTTAACAGATGTCTCATACTGGCGTTATATGCTAGTTACTTTTGGTTCAATAAGTACATGTAAGTTCATGCTGTTTAAAAAGTGCAGATAATAACCATTTTACTTCCCTCTTTCCTAAACAAAACATTTAACATAATGAAAATTAATTCCGGTTAAACGAAATTTAAGTTTTTAAATTACTAAATCTTGAACTTTACTTTCACGTACACTTCATTTACCATTGTATGAATCATTCAAACGAACTGTATGAACTGGATGATGTTGGAAACAGTTTAGTTCCTCTAATATAAGACATTACCGCGTTATATGAAGTATATAGTTACCGTAATCTTTAATATAAGGGAGCTGTCTGTCCAACTAGCTCACAGAAGGTTTGTCGTTCAGATGCTTGTTCGTGCAAGGCATGGAATGGAACCTGTGATCTTCCTTCACTATTAAGCTCTGACACCAGATTGATTTTCCCATAGACTTACATTATAAGAAATAGTCCCTAATCCTACCTTACAATTGAATTTTCATGCTACAGAGCTGGTTTTTCTAGCAGAATGAAATTTAAATATCCAATTCACAAATTATCATAGAGACTTATGAAATATTTCATTTTCTTCCGAAAACAATATAGTGTTTTTTTTCAAAATTAGTTATGATACTTTAAAAGACCCCATTTTCATCCAACCACCTCAAGTCCAATTGAATCTGACGGTTTTTCCTGCACCTTTTTAGCCAATCACCGGCCATGTTACAATACTAGAGCCTGACCGTAATGATGGAAAGTCGCCTTGCCATGTTTTAGATGTTGGTTACACGGTTTCCATTAAGTTCCAAAATTTGGAAGTCAGAAAAACATTATACAAGGAAAGAAGCAAAAGCATTATTTTTTGTTTGGAAGTCATAGCCAAAATCATGGAGTTATTGACTCCTAATCTTCAACTAATGGAAGCCCTGTCAATGGTTGATATATTATATATAACAGGACATGTCTAGGACCGGTAAATTGTTTTTCTTATCCAGCCTTAATTATCGTCACAAGTATAACGATTCCTGTCAAATTATATTCTTTTATTGCATCGTCAGGTTTTGATAAATCTTCAATTTCATCATGAAAAAGAATACAAAGAAAGTAAGCAGACGCTAAACTAATGAATACATTTCCCGGAAAACAATCCTGGCAATTACCAGAAGTTTGGTAGTTTTTGTTTCAATTACGTTTCCGTATTTTGCACAGAGAGAGCTAATTGATTGATTGACAATTATGTGGTTAGGAGAGGAAAAGAAAATAACAAGGCATATGTTTATCCACAGGCCATCTTGTATATATATAAACAACGCACGTGCATGATATAGATGGAATTTGAAGGTACGGTAACCGGAAATGTAAATCGTGCAGATAATGCTACGTTAGTGCAAATATCCAAAGGTACACCTCAATCTGCTTTCAAATTTTAAGAAAATATGGAGCCAGAGATGATCATAAGATATATAAAGAAAAGAGGAATATCTTATACATGTACTTAAAACCGTGCTTAAAATTTGACAGCGTCAAGAGCGAAGCTGATTCTAAACTAGCAATTGAACTTGTAAATAGGTGAACATGTTAACATAGTGTTCTGGATAAACGTTTCATATGAGGGAGTTGTTTGGAGAAAAGACAAACGTGGATTGTTTTATAAATACAAATTCAAAGAGGAACTTTATTGCTGTAAACTTATTGTAACAGTGTAAAGTTGGAGATTATCAATTATTTCACAATTATCTTGATTTGAAAATATCCATTCGGACTTGATATAGTAAATTTTCAAACAAATAGAGGGAAAAACTATTTACTTGTACCAGACATGGAAAGCCTCTGGGTAATTTTTATCTTGTTGCTGGCACTTCAGGAAGGAAGTTCTCGCTGTAATAAGCACAAGGACTGTTACACGTGTATAAATCATAAAACATGGAGTAATGGCCGGTGTCGTTGGTGCCCTTTAGACCAGTCCTGCCATGCTAAATGGTCTCTTAGGAATCACTGTATCAGACTGTCTTTCGATAGCGGATATCAGTGTAGGACTGTTGATAATTCGAACGATAAATTGTCTTACAACGCAGACGAAGCTTACAAGCTCGCATTGTTTTCTGCGATCGCTTATTCGGACGTGCCTGCTAAATGTCTGACGGAACTTTTCCCCAGGAGCGACTATAGTCTCGTCTCCGTCCTTGTCAAGAAATGTGATGATTTTTATTTTGATTACGAGAAACAGTGCCAAGCTTTAGTGGCTTATTCGACAAGAAACAAAGAGATCATAGTGTCATACCGTGGAACTAGGGGAGAGAAACAGGTGGTTGATCAAGTGCTCGCAGTAATCGGAATACCTTCAGTGTCGTCTGGTGTGGGTGGTAAAGTGCAGAAATACTTCAATAATGTCCATAGTAAATTTTACCGTGATATCAAGTATCTTCTTCAAGATTTGATACAATGGTTCCCCGGATATAAAGTAAAGTTGACAGGACATTCACTAGGAGGCGCTGCAGCGTCCATAGCAAGCGCCATGCTTGTTAAAAATAACGTTTTGAAATCAGATCAAATTCTCCTGTACACATTCGGTATGCCAAGAGTCGGGAACAAAAGATATGCCCTTGCCCATGACAGACTGGTTCCCTACAGTTGGAGAGTTGTTAGGAGTGGTGATGCTGTTGCTAGGCTTCCGATTTGCAGGCTGGGAACCTGTACATTATTTAATGGGCCCTATCATCATGGGAAAAAGGTTCTGTATACAGATTCAGAAATGGACAAAGACTCGAATTATATCGTCTGCAACGGAAATGAAGATTCCAAATCAAAGTGCGAGAACAATAGCAGAAGAAAAAGACGTTTTGTCGACACTTTGATAAATAAACACAAACTATACTTTAATATCCCGATTGGCACCTATTGTCGCGATCATATTCTGAAAAAATCGTAAAATTGTTATTTGCTTTCACAGATGTTATACATGTTATCTCTGAGCTGATATATTTTCAAACAATGTACAAAGCGTTTCAAATAGAACAGTGCTAGAGCATTCTGAACAACTACATTCATACAAATACAAAACAGAATATATATATATAGAAAAAGAACGGGGATTAAATGTTATTTCGACCATTCGAGAATATCGACTTATCAAAGTTCGACACAAAGAAATGCTACAATATACCAGTAACTAGAGAAAAATAACATAGGTTTGCTCTGTACTGGAAATATGACTGTGTACATGTATTTAAACTTACTGTGATCTCATTAACATTTTGCATGGGAGTTTAAGCAACATTTTCCCATGGGTTTCATATTGTAAATCAGTTTCAAAGTTGTACCTTTATCAAATTTCTATTACAATTATAACTAAAAATAGTTATTGTTGGTAAGAATTCAAAATAGTTTGAATTAATAATGTCATTGACCCCTTCTTCTTGCAAAATAATTTTAAACTTGGAATAACGGCCTATTACTATCAATACGTCAGAACAAAGAAATATAAGATTAATTGTATTATAGTGCTTCGATATTTATCAATATATATAAACATTTAAACATTTTAAAGCACTATTATAGTGAAGAAGTCCTTCTTTTCAATGAATTTAGAATTCTTTATTAAATATTTTTTGTAGCTTTCAATGGGGAATATTTTCCTGTGGATTGGGAAAAATATACACTATTTTCAGTTGGGAATATGACCTAATAACGGCTACAAAATAAGCCAAATAAATCCCTGAAGGGATTTCATGATCAAAATACTTCCGCCACTTATTAATGGTAGAGTGCCTGAACTGAACGGATATGTGTATACTGGTGGCAAAGGCTTATCAGTTTAGCTTGCAGCAAGTTACGGGTTAAGACGACCACCTTGGGGTATCTCTAATTCTATTATTGTGATGCCAAGAATGGTGAGAATTCTATCAAACTCGTATATATTAGGTTATAGGCATAGCTCCTGTTACATTTTTGTAGAAGCGTTTTAGATTCTTTTTTTGCACCACTAAATTTAAAGTTGTTATGAACGAATAAAGATTTCAGTTCTGGAAGAAAATGACGCACGTATATTAATGCTAATGTAAAAATGATAAACAAGAAAAATAAATACATTAACATCGTGTTAAATGAAATTCATGTTTGAAACTTCACAGTGTATGATCCATGTATTTGAATAACATGATGTGGTTATACAGAAATAAAGTCATTCGACTATAGATTTCCGTTTTTCTTTCCTAGCAGCTATTTTAGCATCGTATTTTTGCTTTTGACGCTCCAGTTTGACCAAATATGCTGTAACACCCCGCGACACTTGTTCAGATTCGCGCAAGAGTGCTGCCTCGCTTCTGCGCATGCGCTCTTTCTCTTTCTTGATTGAAGCTTTCTCCAGCATGCTCTGTTTCCGGTATCTGAAGAGATTCAGGTTTTTTAATATACAGTCAAATACAACAAAATTGGCAATGCTTTTTTGATGTAATCCTCACAAGAATAAGAAAGGTTCCTTAAAAATGATTATCTTAGAACATTTTCCTAAAATGTATGATGGTTTAAGATGACAGCGACAGTGTACTAAGTTGATCTTGCTCTTATTTATGGTATGTTTTAGTTGAAACAAGCCGCAAGATTATAATTTTCTTCCTATTACCAATTCACGGTCAAAAGGAAATATCGACATTGATTTGAATTTTTTTTGTCTTCTTGTAAAAAACCTTCACAAACCTTGCATCTTGTATTTTTTGAAGAACGTGACGTGCTGTGTCACGTGACACTTGCTTTGGTTCCCACAACGGTTTCACGCGTTCTATCGGTGTGTCGAACCTGAACTCTTGTGGCGTTTGTTTCCTTCCATAGCAGACGTCATTGAAATATGACGGCGTCAGTTTTCCTGTGAATATCTTCCTCACTGAAATAATGTTATGTGAACATTTTGAGCTGCGCCATGACAAAACCAACATAGTGCGTTTGCGACCAGCATGGATCCAGACCAGCCTGCGCATCCGCGCAGTCTGATCAGGATCCATGCTGTTCGCTTACAAACCCTATATAACAAGTAGAGAAACTATGCTGGTTTTGTCGTGACACGGCTCATTTGTTTATGATATTCAGGAAAAACTTGTGACCTTTTCTTAAAGATCATGTATGTTGTAATTAAGGTTGAAATCACACTAAAGTGAAATTTATATATGCATATAATTGTTCTCCTTAAACAATTTTCAAACATCGAAGAATATGTAAAATATATACTGCAAATATTTTTCCACATTATATGTAATATTTAAAATATATGCATTCAATTCTTATTGAAAAATTTTACTTTAATAAATTTCTAATTACCCCATACCCCTTTATTAACGTGAAATGTAAATTCGTTAATATCTTTACAAATAATGCTTTTTTACAATATTGATTCATCTTCATTTGAGCATTATATTTATGATATTAAACCATAAAAAATTGTGTTACATGATCTTTAGAAAATATTATTACCTATAAATTATTGTTGAGTAAATTGTAAATAAGAGAACATAATCGTATAAAATCGTTGTATTATGTCATTACATCAAAACATAAAACATCTGGGATAATTTAATAGAAAAACATGTAACGCTAAATCGTATTTTATTTTTAACAAAGCATTCAGAAAAGTGCACAAAAAGTTACAGCAGAGTTTACTGACATGCAGTTTATCTTATTCACTACTGCAGAAAGACTTAATTAATATTATATTATTTTAATCAAAAGTTGTCATTTTATCGCATAAAATAGACGTCATCAGTTCGTCTTTCCGACAAATGGTCGGAACTTCAAATAGTCGTTTTTAACTCATATAATTATTTACAGCTATAAAAGCGACCGTTAATTCAAATGATACGTTTATTCAATCTCCTACGCAGTGATCTCCCCTGATTAGTACAGTGATTTCAATCTACTAAGGGAGGTTATCACTGCGATGACAATATAGGTATGTCAATGAAATCAAAGTACTGAAAGTGCAGATAGACTGACTAGCTAGCTATATGTACCGTTAACTTGTTTAAAATAAAACTCACAGCAAAACTAAAGTTAAATAGTTAATACAGTCTGTACTTCCACATAGAAACTGAAGAGGATTATCAAGAGGAGTTGGCATGAGTGTGGTCGCTTAAATGTGTAAGTCATATTATCTTGAAATTTGCCAATGTAGACTGTCTTAACATCATTTTATTTTTAAAAACAATTTCTTAAAGCACAAATTTATCAAAACAAGTTTTCTATGATAACTGACGGAAAATGGATGCATACACTTCGATAAATAATAAAGCAGGCTCTATATGACAGTCTTAAAAACTCCATCAGGTTTACATGGTTTAATTGTTATGTACTCCTCCCATCACTTTTGGGGGAAGCGGCATATATAAAGATGTACCCTTGTAAATCCGCCAGGCCCGCTTTGTATCGTATATAAATGCAAATGTATCTACTAGAGTACTTAGGTCACAATACTTTCTAAAATACCCTTTTCAGCATGTCAACTTAACGTATCTATATATTTTGATGCAAATTTGCTGAAGACCAGATGAGTTATGCCCCTTCGTAAAATAGCATATTTTAGGCTAAGGCAGCGTGTAACTCCAAAATTATAACTGCTCCAGCAATGAAACTGTAGACAAAAAGTTGCTAGTATATGAACATACGCATCTTAGTATTTGACGCAAATTTCTCAGAGATGAGCAGAGAAGTGTAAAAGATCAACCGTTAGAGCCATGAAACATTCTAAGAATATTTTGTCATCATGGAAATTTATATATCTTAGTAATTTCTCGCAAATGCACCCATTATAACACTCCAAAAGTAAAACTGCTATGTCAGTAATTTCACAGGATTTTTGCGACAAAACAGCAGGATATGAAAGGGGCATTCGGTCCAAATTAAGGTATGTCCGTAAGTTGTTGAATACTTTTTAATGCTTTTTGCCCTATGCTGCATGTTCATGCGCGAAATGCCACTTCCGTTTCTAGGAAATATCGTATTGTAAAACGGTCAAAAAGTCGGTATTGTATCAAAGTCGGTTGCATATTCATACGTAGCGATTTGAAAAAGTATTGGGGAGTGTTGGAGGGGAGGTTAATTAAATTCATAATCATTAGAGATAATATATCTATTACACAACATAACCTTTTAAAAGAAAATAAATATGAATGAGAAGTGATATTTTCCTTTTAGGACCCAAATAAGGAAAGAAAAATTGAAAACAAATTTAATTTAAGAATAACTTATATCCCTGTGTAAACTATACATCATGTAACAGAATAAATGGGTCATAATGCTCTTACCAATTTCTGGTGATCCATAGGCATATGTTTTATGAACATAGCCATTTATACGTTTAATACATCGAGGGTATCTGGAAACTTGTGGTAAGATGCTGAAATAAATAATATAACTGTTGAAAATATATCTGAAGATCATACGATTTCTTGATTGAATAAACATATTGTAGACACGATAAAAAAGACTCCATTCCAAATAGCCTAAACACAAAAAATTTGAATTTCTTAAATTGATAGTCTCAGGCACTTAAAACGGAGTGAAAAAATGCAAACATGTCATTAGTTCATACCTACATCAAATGGTATATACTAGTAATTCTCAAAATTATTTTCAGTTCCGTCATGACAAAAATCCACAGTTGAGTCTCTTTTAAACTTACTCTGTCAGGGACATGTTTATTTGGTACCATTACACTTTTGTCTTTATACTAACAACAGCAACAGAAACAATAATAATAACAACTAAACGAAGCTTTTTATTTATTGAATGCAACTATAAAATTTCCGATAGATGTCTTAACTTTATTCAGCTTTTATATAATTACATTTTAAATGTAAACTACTATGAAGATAGAATTCAATAAAAATCTTCTATTAACGAACAATAATTACTGTTATAACAAAAGCGTTATGTACGTAAAATTATTTGCATGCTGTTAAAAAAATAAAGTCTTATTAAAAGCAATCTACTCATCTATTCGAATAACGAGCACAGTATCAATTATGACAATCAAAATGAAATACCTTCCCAACCTACCCCTACCTACTGACCCCACCCCTGTCTCCCCTCATGCCATTCCCTAAACAGGGGGAAAATAATGTGACGTCACCATTGACAGTTGTAGTACACGTGCATCATCCAGTCAGGATCTGTACCCATAATTCTCAGATTTTAAGCAGACGACATTTGCTATAAAGTTTCCAAAAATAGTTCTGCTTGAAGAAACTCTCTTAAGTACCGGTGCATACGTATTCCAATATATTTTCAATATTAATCCATTTGGTAAATTTTCACTTTAACTAGATCTGTATACGAAATCAAAGTTTTTCATTTATTAAACAACTGAATCCTTTTTTATAGAAACATGACCGCTATTCATATATCTAATTGTTTTAGATAAATACAAGTGGTCTACATTTAACAAAATTTGTACAGTTGCCATTTTGCGCATTTGAAGTATTTGTTTTCCTACACTTAAAGAGTGATTTATTCACTGCATGTAAGAACACTAACTGTAAATTATCTCATTTTTGACTTCAAACTGGCAAGATTGTTGATAATATATCAGAATAGGTCTTAAAAAGTCCTCAAAAAACCTCCGTGTAGAGTGTTTGTGTGTTTGGCGTTATCTGTGATGATTATAATTTTAAATGTTTTGTTTAATTTTGACATAATCTTCGTTAATCTCAGATAAGAAAGATATATCAGCCAATTCTTTTTGATAAAGTAACTAAATTGTTAGTTATTTTAAACAGTTGTCATCAATTATTGTTTAAACATCCGCAGTTGTTCAATCATATAAATGAGGTTAACTCAGTGAAAAATATGAACGCATTGTTCGATACCCGTCTTCCCAACTGACAATCGCCTTCCGAATGAAACCTGTCCCATGTATCGACGTGTAAACTAACCAGTAGGGTCACTTCGGACCAGGACAAATCTCGGCAAGCCTCGATACCGCCCAATGGGCGGGGTCCCCTCGGGACGGATATTCTGGTCCGAACAGCAACATATGACAGATATTATTAATCTCCCCCCCCCCGAAAATAACAACTAACTCAGATCATGATCACATGTCCTTTTTACATAGTTTTCTGAAACTCGAATAAATTATTTTCGAAAATAGCCAGTACTGTTGTCATGTGCGCGAAACCACGGCCCTTGGGTAGAGGGGTATACATGTTAGCCACTATACCAACGAGCGTTTCACTTTTTTTAATCATAGTAAAAAATATAAAGAAAAACTAATTTAAGATATGTAAACGTTTTATGTAAACGTTTTTATAACAATCGGAATTGGAAAGAAATTAGTAAAATCAAACTGGAATACTGCTATCAAATTGCTGGCACTTCTATTGAAGACTTTGATTCAAAACAGGCAGTTTTTGGATTTTCTTTCCGTGAGAATTAATGGTGTCATGTTAAATTCAACATCATAATTGAGCCGTGTCATGACAAAACCAACATAATGGGTTTGCGAGCAGCATGGATCCAGACCAGCCTGCGCATCCGCGCAATCTGATCAGGATCCATGCTGTTCGCTATCAGTTTCTCTACTTGTTATACGGTTCGTAATCGAACAACATGGATCCTGATCAGACTGCGCGGAGGCGCAGGCTGGTCTGGATCCATGCTGGTCGCAAACCCATTATGTTGGTTTTTTCATGACGCGGCTCAATTATATTGTACAATGAATGTAAGTGTTAAAATTATATAAACCAGAGACCAGTACTCGTATACAGACCTCACCAGACATTGGCTGGGCTTGAAAGAAATTATCAAACAAAACATTCTTATTATTGTTATTATTATCATTTCACTTAAAAGTGTTGTTTTTGTCTCTAGAAGTATATAAAAATAAGTGACCCTCTGGGCGGAGACAATTGACCATATGGGTATGTTTTATGTTAATGAAGGGCCACAAGATGATGATACATGCGAAATATCTAAAATCTTGGCGAGAAGATTTCATTTTAGTCCTTTTAAGATACTATGATGTAATGTGACCCACCGACTGGACATCAATTACATGTGTATATAACCTTCATAGAGGGTCTTCCAATAATCATTACGTTTAAATTTGGCCAAAATCCAATTAAAAGACATTGGGATTCGATCTGACGAACAGTGAATGTCGCATTCATATTCAGACTAAATTATAGGAAAATTTAGAAAACTCAAATAAGGTACTTTAGTTTGTATTTCTTAAATCCCTCTTACATTTTTGATGTTTCAAAATACAGTTTGTTTATCAGGAGCCGTAATGCCTAAAGTAGGCCTACCAGTCTTAATTTAGGGGTGGTCATAAGAATAGGATTGTCCATATAAATTTATTATTTATACGCAGATCTAGTAACAGAGTAAAAACTTATGTGTCAGCTAATTTTAACATTTAATTATAACCAACATTTAATTATAACCATCTCCGAAATTATACGAATTGATATAATGGTATTTTCCGGTAAAAAAGAAATATTAAATTCTGTTATCATTTTGAAAGTTGCGTAACTTGATTTGTATGTTTATTTAACACATATTCCAGTTTACTAAAATAACTTACTACGGAGTTTCTGGCGTTGATGCCAGAGACAGAGAGCCACTATATAGAGATGGATCGTTCCGGGACGTGGCTCTTTGCGCTACCAAATTATTTGTAATCTTTAGCGATGGTAACGTCTCCACACACGCTCTTTGCATGGCGGATATATAGATAAAATCCTAGTATGTCTCAATAAATAGATGTTTAGAGATATATGTTACTCTACGCTATCCACTGACTTGATTCCACAACTAAACGCTGTTACTTAGGCGATGACGCGTATAAGGAACATTCAGTGACGTCACAGGCAATGACGTCATGACGACGTTTTAATTTGACAAAACCTCCATGGACACACAAAAAGCTGAATCTAACGTAGAGTTTGGTGTAACGTTTTTAGTGAATCTTGTTTTTTTCAGTTAGGTGTAAACCCTAGGATCCAGGATTTTATATAGGCAATATCTCGCCCGTGGAGGTGTGTGTGTGTGTGTGTGTGGGGGGGGGGGGGGGTTGGAAAACATTAACTTAACTACCAAATCTTTGTAAATAAAACGCTTGAGTGCATTGCGCACGCCAAAAATTAATTATGCAAGACATGCGCATTAAATCAATTCTATAGGTGCACATGGCCCGTATTTTTATATGTTTTATGTATTTCCGTATTTTATTCTATGATATATTACAATAAAGTGTACATAAACGGATTGAAGTATAAAAGTAAAAACTTGTGTGTCAGGTTATATTAACATTAAATTATAACCATCTCCGAATTTCTACGAATAAATAAATGGTATTTTAAAAAGGAATATATTTTGTAAAAATATTTGTATGTGAAAATCGAATAAATGATATTTAATATCTAAAAGGAGCGTTTGTTAAAAAAAGTTATATATTGTTTAGAAAACTATATTTAAAATTATGATATGTTATTTGTTTTCTACGATGGTATATCTTCATGTGTTACCTTCTTAAAATAAAGATATTATGATGATCATCATCATCATTATTATTATTATTATTATTATTATTATTATTATTATTATTATTATCATTATTATTATCATTATTATTATTATTATTATTACTATTATTATTATTATTATTACTACAACTTTTACTATCATTATTATCATTATTATCATTATTATTATTATTGTTATTATTATTATCATTATTATTATTATTATTATTATTATTATTATTATTAAGTGAAAAAATAAAATTAACATGTAACAAATTACTTTTTATGATTTTCCGATTTCCGGTAGTTTTTCACCATGATGGATCAGCAATTTGTCCCTTCTGTATAATTTATTCTTTCTTTATATAAAGTGTGTAAGTTTAAGAAACCTATAAAACAACAACATTTTATGCCACAAACCGTTATTTCGTTGCGTTGCGGGTTAGACATTGCATTTGGCTAGATGTTCTTCTTTACAGCAACATAAAGCAAACGAAATGACATCGAGGGTCCACGCAGGATGGTCTTTTTTGATCGGCGATTTATTTTTCTGCTTCTAAAATGTATAAATTTTCGTAACAAAAACACCATTTTCCAAGACAAGGCAATTTGTTACTTTTGTATATAAAGTGTATGAAATTTCGAAACCAATACCATTTTCGGGAGCCATTAGAAAACTATTTGTGTGATTCCGTTGCGGATAAGCCATTAAATTAATTTGAAGTTACATCTTTACGGCGGTATAGAGCACAATTCTCAAACGCTTTCTGTATATACAGTGAAAGAAAACATTATTTTCTATTCTCAACAGTAAAAATCACTAATGACTGATACCGTTGACTAATTTGGAGGTTATTCTTTACAGCTAATTAGGAAATGACCTTGAGAGCCCTGCATGTCATGGTTGTTCTTTTTTTTGATTTGCGATTGTTTTTGTATTTTCTGATCGCAGATCAGATAATACATAGCTAACATTCACGGTCTAACACAATATTTCCTAACAGTCCTAACAACGCAAATTAGTTCTCACTCAAAACTGCTTAAAAACCAGCAATTTAAAAGAAAGAACAATTTTTTGTTACAAGTGTCCAACAAACTACTACACCTTCAAACTTTTAAAGTAGCGTTGTCTTATAGAGTTGTCAATAAACGCACACTCACAAATTACGCGGATGAATATGATTTTAATCAACGAAAATGCTATTTTTAGCGATTTCGATTACCGAATACTACACAAATAAATCTGACTGCCGAGTAGTTGAATATATAGTTTCTACATGTTGGACTGTTTGGGCGAGAAGATTTTTGCTAAATTATTTACTTCAATTCTAAACAACAGGTTTACCCTGAACAAAATACCTCGAAATTACCCTAACCCGAAATTCAATGGAAATTCTAAATTTAGAATCACTTGATTTTATTCAGCTATAGATTTTACAACTTCTCCGTGGTGCAGGGGTAACGCGCTCGTTTGGTGTGTGAGAGGTCTGGAGTTCAAATCCCAGTCGTGTCAACATTTTTTTAATTCTTTTTTTTTTTTAGTGTCTTTGTTAAGGAAATAGCCACGATATGCAAGGATAAAGTGTGGCTATCATAAAAAATTAACATATTTTTTTTTTTGATGCAAAATTCCGTATGTATCAAACTCTGGTGCCCTGCAAGATGACTTATAGTACATAAAAATAAACTTATACAGGAAATCACATACAGATATACAGTACGATTTAGATTGCAGGGATCAGAAAATACCACTGAGCTTGCAGCCCTTTGATTGTATATTAAGTCAATAACATCCTTTTCTATAGCCAACAGCAAAACATCGTGTTGCAGATTAGCCATAGTGTTAATTTGGAGGTATAAGAAGTAAAGAAAATGGCCGCGAGAGGCCCGCTTGACATTGTCGTTTTTTTTCGCCAATTTTTCTTTTCTGTATTATATCCTTAAATCGACTGAATATTCTATTTTCATAGAGACCAAACCCTTCTGAAAGTGTATGTTTTATACATGTAGTCGTATAAATCGACATGTACCAGTTAATCTTATTTGATACATTGATATATCTTCCTCGTTTAACACTCTGACCGCATTTTAAAGGCGGTAGTTTTTCACGGCCGGAATAATGACCTAGGTATTCTTTAGGCAATATAAGTTGTGTGTTTTAAATTTATGAGTTGTTTATGTACTTATAAAGGGAAGTAACCGCTGCGAGGAGTTTGTCAAACCCCTTGCGGCGGTTACTTCCCTTGACCAGTTCAGGTTGAAATATAGCACAACTGTAGTATCAGGCGTTCTCTGACAGCAGGAAAAACATAATCATGTATTATTTTGCATGCAATGTTATGTGATAATTCACTGCATAAGTAGCATATAGCAGTCCATTTACGAAGTTATTAAAAGTGTTATTAGTTGTGGTGCACTTGATTTTATAAAATTGCGCATCGAATTACCCCCTTGTACGTTGTGTGATATGTAAACAATTATGGAATTGTTAAAATGATTTAAATATATCTAATATGGACTATATTACCAGCGTTAGTTTGTCGGTGTAATAAACTATTTCCGGATAATTTATATGTGATAGGCTGTCATAGAAAAGTAATGGAAATTTAAGAACGATTTTGCTATTAATTTGAATTCCATCTTATATCAAATAAGAAATCACAACAAAAGCAGAAGGAAAATAGTCTGGTCATAAATGATTGAGGATGTAACGGTTTTTGAGACTTTCGAGAAATGACCACAGTTTCAGATTTTGATGGATTAAAGGTTACTAGCCAACGAGAAGCCCAAACTGAAATTTTATCAATATCTGATAAAGGGATATACTATGCTGTCCTGAACAGGTTTTTGAACGTGTTGTATTTAAACATTTATGGATAACAATTTTCTTCCCACTTTACAGTCCGGTTTCACACTAGGCGACTCATCTGTCAATAAGCTTATTGACAGATGAGTCGCCTAGTGTGAAACCGGACTGTAAAGTGGGAAGAAAATTGTTATCCATAAATGTTTAAATACAACACGTTCAAAAACCTGTTCAGGACAGCATAGTAGAGATATTGGACGGTAGTTATTTGGCATAGAAGAAGCCAGAGCAACATAAATAAATTAGGGTAGATGTGATATATAGGCGCTGTATTTTGAACAATCTTATGAATATTTTTTATTTTCTACTTTTGCAATCTGTTTTTTTTTTGTTTTTTTTTTCAATTTTGTTATTTTAGTCTGATGCTGATTTTTTAAAAAAATAAGTCAGTGTTCATGTAATTTACTTTTTTTGTTCACATTTGTTACAATGTCACGAATGTGTTTCCTATTCTAATTAAAATCTGGGACCAAAAATATATTATTGTTCCAGTTAAAATATACAAACCAGGGTATGAATTTTTTAAAACTAACGCAGAGATATAGATAAATATACATCTCTGATAAACGTTATTGCTATGACGAAACTGGTAATATCTTTTTCGAGATTTATATACTATTTGATGTACGTCTGAACCATAGGCCTAACTTGTGATTATTCGATCACTCCATTTTTCCAGTATAAGTGCAAAATGACCCAAAATGAAAAGTGGTTGATATACGCTTTTAACCAAAATCGGACAAGAATTACACAAAATCGCGGATTTATATATTAAATTGTAATTAAGATCCGAGACAAAATAGAATTTATATCTAAATCAAATCAGAGTATATATATATTAATTGTATACCTATAAATGAAATATTGAGAAATATTGATGAAATAAAATGCTCATTTTCATTTTCGTATATTCACTGTAAAAAAGTATTTTAGTGAAACATATTTTCCGTGTTTTCACTGGTGCCGGACTACTTTCTTTTAAATTATGCCAGTACACAAATTTTATGGAATAGTCTCCCAAATTGTAATTTAAAAATAGAGACAAATGTATATAATAAACAGAAAATTCAATCTTGAATAATATCTTCTATATATCTTTAACATCTTTTGCATATTTGTCCGTTTTAAATGTCCATGCAGTTTATCTATGTAAGAATGTATTTTTTATGTGTTTAGGTTTTAGGACCTCAGTGGAGCTCCTTTAATTAAATACCTTAACAAACTTATATATTATAAACCGTTTTTAACTTTTAGGTTCCAGCTTTTTTCAATACCACTTCCAACTGTTCTTGCGTCTTAATGCTCGAATGACGAATAAAAACTGTTTCACACATGCCACGTGACGGTGTGCAAACCACGTTAACTTTTTGTCCTTCCGAATAATCCAGGCGGGGAACAATACTTTCATATAAATACATGGCAAATTAAATCGTGTGACTGAAAAGAGATCGGAAAATGTTTTGCTGGCGTCTTTAACGGATTTGTGTTTTTTTGGTGAGAATCAATCAGTAGTTAAACATACAAGATTGCCCCCGAGCGCTCAAGATTCATTGTCGAGTGATTTTCAATGTACTTTACTGTTAGCTACATTTGCGTGAAGTTTGTGAGAAGGACGTGACGGAAACGAAAGCATGGGAGGTTTGGAATTGTTTCTTTTATTTTAATCACAAAATGTAAGCTATAATATTTTATCAAATTAAACTATATAGCCGAAACGTAATATAATTACACATGAAAATCAGGAAAGCATTACTGTTTTTTTTTTAGGAAAAAATGTAAACATTTCACAGAAAATCCGGGAAATGTTATTTATCACATAAAACTTGTTAATTATCAAATATTTTTCGTAGGTACAATTTGTTTGACACAAAGTTAAATTTTCCATGAATTACTGTAAATAATTAGTACATGTACATGTGATGATTCACTTATTGTAGGCCTACAATTCCTGATTGTTTTCTGTTTTAAACAGTTAAAGGATGGCAATAATTTTTTTTATTACCTTCTATACTCAAAAGTCACATGTTGAAAAACCAGATAATAATATAGCTAATATATGATTTTTTAACAAAACATTTTCATAGGTAATTGCTTATGATATAAAACAAAATACAGATATGAATAATTGATAGTCTAACAAAGTATTGACACGGATGATTGACTTGTGATATGTAAAAATGATGGCCATGTTGATGACAATGTTGTTGTTTATGGTAATGTTGATGAGGACGTCCATGGGTGTAACAATGATGATGAAATGACGTTGTTCAAGATAGTCAGCAATCATCAGGTAAATATAGTTATTTATAGAAACTATCCTTTTAGCTCGACTATACGAAGTATATGGAGAGCTGTCCTACTCGCTCCGGCGTCGGCGTCCGCGTCCACGTTCAGATTTCAGATTAAAGTTTTGGTGCAGTAAAATATGTTTCACTATAACTTGGTCATTTCTTAAGGTATCAGCTTCAAACTTAAAATATATGTTCTTTATCATCAACCACATGTTATGTGACAAGGTTCATAACTCTAGCACCAATATTTTCAGATTTATCTCCCCTTGAACTTACAATTTTCCTTAAAAAATATTATTTTTTACTGTTACTTATTTATTTCTTAAGGGATCAACTTCATACTTCAAATATATGTTTCTTATCATCAGCCACATCTTAGGTGACAAGGTTCATAACTCTAGCACCAATATTTTCAGATTTATCTCCCCTTGAACTTACAATTTTCCTTAAAAAATATTATTTTTTACTGTTACTTATTTATTTCTTAAGGGATCAACTTCATACTTCAAATATATGTTTCTTATCATCAGCCACATCTAAGGTGACAAGGTTCATAACTCTAGCACCAATATTTTCAGATTTATCTCCCCTTGAACTTACAATTTTCCTTAAAAAATATTATTTTTTACTGTTACTTATTTATTTCTTAAGGGATCAACAGAACAGAACAGAACAGAACAGAACAGAAACTTTATTTTCAGACTTGTACAAAATACATCGTCTACACAATACAAACAATTAAATATATTTAAGTATAAGTCACATTACATAATAATATCATAGTCAAATGTTAGCAAAGCATATGTTTTTATTGCTTAATTTATAATTCCGTTAATACAAAACATTATCAAAGCAAAATGTAATCTATATTTAAAGTTAGACATTATGCAATCAATACTTATTTATCTACGCTATGTTACACAGAGGATTAACCGTGAATTCAACGATGTGTAACTGATATTCTCATAGCCAATGCTTCTCGTATATAACAAGCAAGGTTACGTAAAATAATCTTATTATCACTATTTAATAATTCTAAAAATTTATACATACTAGGTCTAACGTAGTAAAATTTCTTAATATATTTCTTTCTAAGGTCATTGTAACAAGTGCAAACCAAAACAAAGTGGTACTCATCTTCAATATCATGTAAGCTACAGTATATACAAAAACGTTCATTTCTTGGTATCCTATTTGAACCATAACGACCAGACTGTATAAGTAACGGATGTGCTGATAATCTTATTCTACTAATATAATGCCTAAGGCTACTAGGTAATAAATCCAGATATTTTTCATACTGGAACACATTTTTTATCTCCTTGTATAACAATAAAACAGGACTATTTACAATATCAGCATGCCAGCTTTGTACAAAGGAATCAATTAAACGCTGCTTGAATTCTAGTAAAAACAATTTACTACATAAAACCTCTTGATTATGCCATACATACATAAAACCATACGACGATAATAAATCTTTAACACTTGAAAGCCAATTTTTCTTACCATTTATACAGTCTTCATAAGATAAATTATAAATTTCTTTAAGAATGATATTGTCTGTTTGTAATAATTTAAGCCAAAACTTTACTATCCGTAAATATCTTGTAATGTATAAAGGATAACGAGCCAGTTCACCATAAACTGCTGCATTACATGTATTCATTTTAACATTAAGTATTCTTTTACAAAACTTAAGATGAATTCTTTCAATTTCTTTTGACTTACTATTTCCCCAAATTTCCGAGGCATAACAAAGAATGGATCCGACAAACGCATCAAATAACTGACATAATATTTTGGGATTAAGTTTATGCTTTTTACAATTTATAAGTAGAACATTTAATGCTTTTAAGGCTTTTCCTATTATCTGTTCCTGATTTAAAACAAACGTACCCGTGTAATTAAAAACAACTCCAAGGTAATTAAAATTACTAACAATTTCGAGTTTTTCACCATTATACAAAAATTCCTCATTAGATAACAACCCACCACGTTTTCTAAAAACCATTGCTTTAGTTTTATCAATATTAACATTCAGACTCCATTTTTCACAATATGAATAGAGAAGATTTAAACTTTTGTTAATCTGTTCTGGTGAATCACCCAAAATTACCATGTCATCAGCAAAAAGTAGAAGCATAAGTATAATATCATTTAATTGAAGTCCACTGTTTATATCCTGCTCTAAGAATAACTCGACGTCATCAATAAACAGAGAAAACATTATCGGTGAAATTACCTCCCCTTGACGGAGACCTACAGCATATTCAAAAAAATCAGAATAACAATTACAATGTTTTATACAAGATTTAACCTTATCGTACATATCTCTAACAATACGTAGCAATTTACCTCTAATACCAATATTATATAACTTGAGCCATAGGGCATTTCTGTAAATACTATCAAAGGCCTTTTTGAAATCCACAAATACACAGTATAGACGTTTTTTCTCATTTAGGTATTTTTGAATAACAGACAATAAAATATACAGGGCATCTACAGTTGAATTCCCTTTCCGAAAACCAAACTGTGCATCAGACAACAAGTTATTTTGTTCACAATAATCCATAATCCTTTTATTTAAAATCGTTGTAAATAATTTAGACAAGCAACTAACTAGTGTAATACCTCTATAGTTATTAACATTATTTACGTCTCCCTTTTTATGCAGTGGGATAATAACACCCTCAGTCCAGGATTCGGGGAAAAAAACACTATCTAATATACAATTAAAAATATCGCAAATATGACACCCTAATATATCAATAGATTCAATGAAGTATTCATTTAAAAGAAAATCATTCCCAGGAGATTTATTCCTTTTCAATGTTTTAACAGCTGCTGTAATTTCTTCAATAGTAAAATTCCTATCTAAAATTTCATCACCATTGTCAGTATTATTAAAATCATACATTGTTTCAAAATTTTCAGATTCATCATTTTTTGACTGAAAAATGTCGTTTCCAATAGACGAAAAGTATTCAAAAAATTCATCCACTGAAATATTATTCTTCGAACTAGTGTTATGTTTAAAATATTTCCAAAATTCTCTAGGATTGGAAAAACGTAACTTTTCGATTTCACGCTCCTTTAAAGCAATATGACGTCGACGCTTTAATCTAACAGTATGTTTATAATTGCTTTTTAAAAGACAAAGCTCATCCCTATTTTCATAACTTTTTACTCTGTTAAAGTTACGTAAAGCATTTAAATATGCATGTTTTGCCTGCACACATTCTTGGTCAAACCAAACCTTATTTTTATCATTAAATGTATTACAAAAATCAACACTATTATTTACACAATAAGATTTACAAAACAAAGGGCTAGCTACATCTTGTATCAGACAGGTAAAATCAGAAACTAGCGCATTAATAGATAATTTACTACAAATATCTACATTATTTAACAACGTATTAAAAACCGGCAGTTTAGTTATTAACTTTGCTCTGAATTCCTCCCTTAGGTTATTTGACCAAACATATTTGCAAAAATTTTCCTTGCATTGGTTTTTTTCAATATTTTGTGATTTATTACAAAATAAATTAAAAGAAATAGGGCAGTGGTCACTCCATACCGTATAATCATGAACTGTAAAATTACTAATTCTGGAAAAATTACAATTCAAAGTGAGTAAGTAGTCAATAACAGACGCCCCCTGTCTCGAAATAAACGTAAAATTACCGTTACGATCGTGATCTATTCGACCGTTAATAATACGTAAACCTGTACTTTTACAAAATTCAATTAAACGATGACCAAAAGTGTTACACGTATTGTCAAGTGAGGCCCGAAACAGGGGTACATCTGGGTCATACATATCATAATCAATATCAATATTTAATGCATCACAAACAATGTAATCTTTTTTCGTACCAACTCTACTATTCCAGTCTCCAATTAAATACAGTTCTCCTTCCGTTTCAAATTCATACACATCGTTTTGAATGACGTTAAACAAATCGACATCACATACATTGTACGCTGGTGAATCTTCACACCATAAATAAATTCCACATATGTATATATCTCTTTCTAAAGTAAAAAAATGTTTATCAAGTTTAATCCATAAGATTGTATCAAAATGGTTACGCACTATTTCTATGCCACTTTTTAACGATTCTCTATACAGTAAAGCGATCCCACCACTACACCTTCTAGAGTTCCGGTGTTGAAATTTTCTAAAATAATTATATGATACATAACCACTTAGATTAATATTTGAATTCACATTTGCCCAGGTTTCATATAAAAAATAATACCAAATTGTTTTAAGATGTTAATAAAGTCATCGTCTTCTATTTTCTCAGCAGTCAGACCATTAACATTCCAGGAGAGAATTCCAAGGTTATCCTCATCGAATCCCTATCTTCGGTCGTCTCGCTGTGCTTTACCATCAATATACAATGTATCGTAGGATAACCAAGCCCGTTGCCCTTTGTCCTAGCCTCCTTCATTTTCGGGATTAACGCTCTTCTCTTATCAATCACCTCCTTTGGGAACTGCTCGTGAACAAAATGCTTGGAATTGTCTAATGATTTCCAACTTTTACGAACCAGTTCTCTCTCTTTAAACAAATTGAATTTTGCCACTATTTTTCTGTCCCTTCCTCTTTGCCTTTCGCCCATCCTATGCACTCTTTCAAATTTCAATTGAGCTACTAAATCACTAGCAATTTTCATCTTTTCCACAAGAAATCCCCGCAATACTAACTCTGTATCTTCACTTTCCCCTTGGCGCGCCTCCTCAATATTTCCAAACACCAAGTTATTTCTCATTGATTGAGATTGCACATAGGTTAAATCATCAGCCAACTGTTTACTTCTTGATTCTAATTGTTCTACTTTTGATGAAAATAACCCTAAGTTGTAGTCAGTGCTTTCCGCCCGCTCTTCAATTTCATGTATTTTATCCATAGCCTTTTTATTTTGGTCATTTATACATGTCCATAATTTAGCCAAATCCTTTTCAAAATTACACACTTTTTTTCTAATGATTCTAATGTACATAATTTATGTTCAACTGACTCAAGGCGATTATTAATTTTATTTAGAATCTCCAGTAAATCGGAATTTGAAGGGTTTATACTAGCCATACCTGGATTGTTGTTTGCTACACTCACTTCATCCGTTTCAGAGCCTGAGTCTGTGCATGAATTCAATAATGTTTCTAAGTTCAAAGTTGTATTTGTGGCAAAATTATCCTCTTTATCAAAAAGGACACAGTTGGTTTCCTTTAAAATGTTACTAACCACAACTTCATCTGGGGTAGACGTAAAGCGACCTGATTTTCGCTCACCGCCATTTTTCAAAGATCCATCACTGCACTTTCTTTTCTTTTTCTTATCCTTTTTACCAGTCATAACTCACAAACAGATAATCCAAAAACATTCAGCGCAAAATAATACATTATCCTAGCAACAAAAATAACAAGATTGTTTCATGAAGATAACTTTTAATCCATTTTTAATCCATTTTTTTCAGAGCGCACAAAACATGTCAAACTATTGATCACGTGACTTTCATTCAACTTCATACTTCAAATATATGTAGCTTATCATTAACCACATGTTATGTACTCTAGCACAAATATTGCAAGAATTATCTCCCCATAAACTTAGATTTTTTTACTTGAAAAATGTTTTTTTACTATAACTTTTTTAGTTTTATAGGTATCTACCTCAAACTTCAAATACTTATTCTTTATCATCTTATCATCAATTACATTTTATGTGACAAAGTTCATAACTCTTGAAGCAATATTTACAGATTTATCTCTCTTTGAACTTAGGATTTTCTATAAGAAATATTATAACTTCTTTACTTTTTAACGTATCTACTTCAAATATATATTTCTTATCATTACACTAATGTTGTGTGACAAGGTTCATAACTCTAGCATGACTATCTCCAGAATTATTACCCTTGATCTTGGAATTTATGTTAACAATGTCATTTTTTACTTTAACTTAATACATAATTATACATAATTGATTTTTCTTTCATAGCTTTGTCTTCCTTACTGCGTCCAGTATTTTATTAGTCGAGCTTCGCTGTCTCCTGTGACAGCTCATGTTTTAGAAACTAGTTATTTTTAGACAAATGAGTTTTAACTTTTCTTCGTAAGTTTTATCAGTTTCAGAAGATGAAATTTCAAAAAGAACCTATGAACTTGCAAGTAATCATTACGGAAGCGTCCTGGTGCCAATTAAACATGTTCTATAAAAATTGAAAACTCCTACGTAGGAGATAGAAAAACCTAATTAGGAGTTTATAACTCCTACGTAGGACTTTTAAACTCCTACGTAGGACTTTTAAACTCCTACGTAGGACTTTTAAACTCCTACGTAGAAGATAAAAAAGCCTAATTAGGAGTTTATAACTCCTACGTAGGACTTTTTAACTCCTACGTAGGACTTTTAAACTCCTACGTAGGACTTTATAACTCCTACGTAGGACTTTTTAACTCCTACGTAGGACTTTGTAAAGCCAACGTAGGAATTTGTAACTCCTACGTAGGACTAATAAAGTCCTACGTAGGAGTTATTAACTCCTAATTAGGTTTTTTTTATCTCCTACGTAGGAATTATAAAGTCCTACGTAGGAGCTGCAAAGTCCTACGTAGGAGTAATCTTTTTTTATAGAACATGTTAAATTGGCACCAGGACGCTTCCGTAAATCCTACTATATCGGGCCATGCTTGTGGAACAAGGACAACACACATTTTGCAACGTAAAAACAGCATACCTATTTAATTCAATTTACATTTGGAAAATTTGACATTATAAGAAATTTGATATACATATATATACATGTTAATGGTATTATGTCAGTAACTGAAATTGCGTAGAATTACAAAATTTTATTTTAGAAATGAAGATTTTTTTGTCAAAATTGAAAACTATGTTTTATGTATATTGACGATATTTTGTATGCATTGTTTATATCGATTTTGGTTGTTTTGGTTTCTTTCTCAAATATTTGGAGTTGGTGTGTGATTGGGGTTATTCGATTTGGGTTCGGTGTTTTAGTTTGTCTCTTTGTGGGAGTTGTTAATGTGTGTTATGGTTGTTTTTCTTTGTCTTTGTTGGAGTTGTTAATGTCATTTGTGTGTTATGGTAGTTTTTCTCTGTGGAAAATTCAGGCCTTATTTCTGAATAGTTTCGGAATTGGTGGTCGATAAGACAGTTGATTCTTTGCTGATATATTGTGATCGATTTAAAAATTTCGGATTTTATTATTCTTGTCGAATTATTATTATTCATCATTTCAAATAGTTATATCAATTTCATTAGAAATGGGAGACACATTTTTAGTTATATTGAATTTTTAGCTGTACAATACCCAATTTTGTATAATTATATTGATGTTTAATATGAGTAATGTGATATTTTTCATAATTATATTAATATATAGGTGGAGAATGCGACAATATATTAAAGATAACATTGATTCTTTTAGATTTAGAACGTGACATTTCTAATAATGATATTTGGGTGTTGAATGCGACATTTTTATCAATTATATATACTGATTATTTTAGATGCAGAATGCGACATTTTAGACTAGTGTAATATTAATGTTCTTTGGTTTTTCGTTTGTTTTCAGATGGCGTTAGAAACACCACTGGATTACTTTTGAAAGACAAAACTAGATAAAATTGTATATTTCTAAATATTACCACTATATATTTCAGACTATTGTTCGATTGATGGTAAAAAAATGTTTATTGATAATTGAGCAGACGTAAAGCAGGAAATGGCGGGAAAGACTCCTAGCAGACGACAGTTGTCGCGCAGATGCAATCATGCACCATATCAGACTGCCCGAAAATACAGGCTGGCCTAGCTCTATACTGGACTCGCTTTCAGCAGGTTAGGGTTTTGAAAAAGGAAATCATAACTTTGTAATGTATGTCTTGTTTACTTTTTGAAAAATAAACTTTCGTGTCAATGTAATAATTATGTTTACATATCATTATTGTCTAATGTTTCATAATGAACCATTTTTAGCCCAACTGTTTAAAAAACCAGTACTGGTATCCTACATATTACCGGACAAAATATGATGTTTTTTATCTTTAACTTTTATTTAAAATAATAAAAAAGAATGAAATTTTCCCCATATAATTTTAAGTCCTTAATTCACGTAAACATTCCTTTATCAAGCATTTCTTTGTAAAAGACAACAACGAGATAATGTTTGGACTAAATTTAAAATTACTTTTTGTCATTAAAATATGTTACGATTGTCTCTTGAGGTAACGTTGAGAAGAATTAAAGGTAAAACCTATCTAAAATAACACATTAAGGGCCTCCGCATTCGGGCCTGCGCAGAACAGATTATTCCCCCGCATGACCAGGTCATGAAGTAACTAGTAAACAAAAGTGCATGCTAGTAGATAAAGATATTTATCCGAGAGTGGTTTTGTTGCTATTTACTTTTCAATAGAAAGTGTGTGTACTATTCAGACTGTATGCTTTTTTAATCGAAGCAAAAAATAAAGCACTATTCGGCAGGAATAGCTTATGTCCGGTAAACTGATTGTCCGGTAAATACGAAGGATCCCAGTAAGGGCTATTTTAGTCACTTGGTCGTCTGTTCTTGTAAAACACTTCGTTTTGCATATGTTTTGTGTGTAACTTCCTACCTCAGAATTCATTATGATTGCGTAACGAGGAAAATAATCTAAACACCTTTAACTTTAAACTAGACTTTGATTTATGCTCAACATCACTTATTTAAGTTTACAATAATATTCTTATCAAATGAGCATAACAATGCTGAGTTATGGGTTATTAAGAACATTTCAGGAAATTAAACAAATAACTTATAATCTTAGTTGTAATTATTTTTAAAAAGCTAAAATATGTAATATTTGTTCGACCATGTTTCCAATAGTGTATCCAGAGGTAGCAGACGACAATAAATTTTAAAGGTGGAAATTTGCGACTTCCGGTGTGTCTGCTACTCGATGTTGTGATCTCCGTTACTTCCCCTGACGTTCAGTAGATGAGATGAGGGTCGAGGTAAGATATTTTGAAGAAATACAAATTTTAGCTAAACATAGAACATTACATTTTAAAGATAAGGGTTTGTGAGTCGCTGATTACACCTTTAACTATGCAAAATATTTTAAATGGACTTGACCATCTTCAAATCTGGATAAAACCATTACTCACTTTAAGGGACAATTTTAAAATATGTACTGACTTAATATCGATATTGCAGATCATGAACAGATGTCAAGAATATGCCGACTGATTTTGGTCTGCACTGGTCGCACGGGTACATGTATATTATGTTGGCACTAGAAGGCTGAGAGTTAATCAACATATTGTACTACACAAAATAATCAGAAAGTACTGATTACAGTTCATTAATAATGGCAACTTTTAATTCGGAACAATGTTTGTATTTTGAAAGCATGTTAATTTCAGATGGAACATGACTTTTTGTAATTATACACAAATACAAAAATATATACATTTAATAACTGAATTCACGAATAGGTAAAAAATATCGGCACTACATTAGTGATTGTGCCGAAGGAAGGGAGATAATAATGAATTATATTACAAATAAGGGAGATAAAATATCTATTATTATAATTATACTATAAAATATCATAATTATTTCTAATGCATAGTGTGTGTTTTGTAATGAACTGGTGACTTTGATTGTGGCACTCCGATAACACCTTAATTTTCAATATATAAATAGATAATTTTTTAACGTATATTGCAGTTTCAGGATTTGAAATAAGGAAAGAACGAAAGATATGAAAAGAGCACCGGCAAACTGATCTTGGGATGTTACATCCTTATCACAGAACTGGAACCTACTGATTAAGATGGGGTAATAGTAGGTTTTATGAATATATGTATAGATTTGTTTCTTAGCCTGCTGAAAGCGAAAGTCATTAGTCTTTGCCTCCAGAATAGAGCCAGGCCAGCCTGCACTTTTGTGCAGTTTGACCAGCATCTTTACTGTTTGCTAGCTTCCAATTTTCATTTTCATGTGATAATTAGTTGATAATTTATAATGGACTGTTCCTTAAATAAAATGTGGAAAAGTCCATTTAATAATTTCCGCAGGTTAAAGCAGCATGCCTCCAGATTCATGCTGATTTTTCTTGTAAATTTTGGAAATGTATCTAAAAGAAAAATATAGTGTAGTGAACAAGGAAAATAATTTACACATTACAAACAGCATTTACAGTCTACTTAAATTACCAAAAAAGGCCAAAATATACAATTATAGCCATTACTGCGTTAGTCACGCAGTAGAAATATGGTGATAAGTACTGCGACTTCGGTCGTTAAAGACATTTAGCACATAAATGATTACGTGAATCTTAAATCTTTTTACTTCTCTTAAAATCTGAGTACATTTTTCTTAAGTTTGTTTTTCTTGAAATATTTTTGGTTCATCTGGAGGCGTGCAGCTTTAAGGCATGTTCATAGCTCTTTGAATGAGACGTGTATTCATTTGGTCCTGAAACAGTACGGCATTGTGAAAATTGTTTCATGTTCGGGTTTGATTAATTTTTTTTTTGCTTAACACAGAAGCAGTTACCTTTGTTGTTGTTTTTCAGTCAGGCTAAGTAAATGCATGTACACATACACTGGTATCGAACATTTTTCTTTATTTTTCAAATTTGATAAAACTTTTTGTAATTTTTAGTTATAATACAAAAAGCGTCCGTTACCGAGTGGTAAAATGAATTCATTAGCTTCAAATCATTTTCACCACCCCCTTTCTTACACTATTATGGGCACCGACTTGGAATTCATAAATAGTTTCATGTGCAAAGATGATCAAAAGAGGTTATCCACAGCTAGCTTAATTGGCAGAGAAAACTGTTGGTTCTACTCGAGTGCCCCACCGTGTCTAAAATAATTTATAGAGGGCTATTTTGGACCTTCTTCCGCCAGTAAAGCTGAAAAATTATTATTATTTTCTTGATAAATACCGTTGAGCTAGATATTCCGGTCTATACCGGCAGACGGTGTAAGATTCTTATAGTTTTTTAATTTTGGTGGTTCAACCCGTGCGTCTGCTGTCTTTTGCAAGTGAAACGCAAAGCGTTACAAGTGATGTCAAATCAAATCAAATCAAATCAAATCAAAATTTATTTATTGTCGGAATATATATAACATTTTACAAAACATAAGCTATGTATAGCTTTTGACCGACATACATGCATAATGATATAAACATAAAACTCATAAAAGAAGCACATTAAGATATTAAACTTTGAAAGACAAATGGTAAAAGATAAGTTAAATTACTATAATATGGGATGTAGACATTAAATGTTATAATTTAAAATAAAATAATAATAATTAATAAATAGTAATGATATGCTAAGGATATGCTTAAAAGTTCTATACTGTATCATAAGTGAATAAAAAGATATATATCTAGATAAAATGCGGAATATATTAGCACATACATAAAATAAGATTACATTAAAAGTGGGTGGATACTGCTGATCTTGACCCAGGCCTAGCCTGGACTGCTATAAAAGAAAGGAAATATGATATTGAAAATGAAAAGGATCACAAAACTGTTACCACTAATTAGGTTTTATAAATAAAAATCCCCAATACAAAATTTGTAAGAAGTGATCAGCAGCCTCCTCAATAAGCAAACTTCGCAAAAAGCTGACAATAAGCAAACAACAATTCAAGCATACTGGAAAAATAATACATGTACATAATCATTTATGTTGAGAATATTAACAAAATTTAAGTCAAATGTGAAATAAACAGATACATGTAAGTAAGCAGCAAAACAAAAGAAAGCAGGCAAGAAACAAAACTGAAGATGGAGCTAAACTATAATGCAGGTTTATTGACAGAAAGTACATGAGCAACTCTCTCCATTCCATGCACCAATTAGACTTTTAAATTGGTCATAATTCACTTCCATTCTGAGGTGTTGAGGAAGTGAATTCCATAGTTTAGGTGCATAGGAACGAAAAGAGTTGCTGCCATAACTGGTGGTTCTTACCTGAGGGATAATGGCTACATTTTTATACCTAAAATTAAAAGAATGAGATTTTATATTAACAAGATCATGTAAGTATGTTGGTCCTTGTTTATGAATAATTTTATGAATTTCGAGGGCTATAGTTCTGATTCGTCTTAGTTTTAAATTTGGTAGTTTAGATTTTATTAAAAGTGAGTCATAGTCTGATTGATAGTCATCATAAATGAATCTTAATGCTCTTTCTTGAATTTTCTCTAGTTTTTTTGTGTACTTTTCTCCACAGAAGTGCCAGGTGACAGGGCAGTAATTAAAGTTTGATAGTATAAAAGAGTAATATATGTTCAATTTCCCCAATTTACATAAATTTTTACCTATTCTCTTTAGCACGTTTAGTTGTTTTGAGGCTTTTTTACAGATATCAGAAATATGATTATCAAATTTGAGTTTAAAATCAAAAGTTACCCTAGAAGTTTAACAGATTCATCACATTGGATTGTACTATCATTTAAATTGAAACTAATATTTTGATCCCTAGTTTTTTTTACCAATAGCAATAGCCTGGAATTTGTCGGGGTTTGCTTTCATATGATTGTCCGAAAACCATTGTATTAATGACTGACTATCTGACTCTAAAGATTCAACAACATTGTCAATGTTTGTGTCACTGCATGATAAAGTGTTGTCATCTGCATAATTATAAAGATCACATTTGTGTACAAAATCAAAAATGTCATTTAAAAATATGTTAAATAATACTGGGCCTAGAATAGAACCTTGAGGAACCCCTTTATAAATATCTTTGAAAGAACTTAAATTTGATCCAAGTTTGACGCATTGTTTCCTATTTGTTAAATAATTAGTTAATAAATCTAGGGCATGGTCGGAGACCCCATAACATCTAAGTTTCATGAGAAGGAGGTCATGGGGTAGGCAGTCAAAGGCTTTTGACAAATCCATTAAAATAGCTGCTATGTATTTGTTTTCATCCAGTGATCTTTTCCAGTCTTCAGTAATTTTAAGTAGAGTGCTTTGACAGCCGTAACCTGGTCTAAAAGCAGATAAGTAAGTATTAAAATGGTCATTGAAAAAGTCAGTTAGTTGGGTATTAATAGACCTTTCGAAGATTTTAGATAAGATTGGAAGGATACTAACAGGTCTGTAATTACCTTTATCTAGAGTACTATTTTTCTTATGGACCGGAACTACCTGAGCTATTTTAAGACTATCAGGAAAGATGGATGACTGAAAACTCAGATTAACCATATTAGTAATATGTTCCACGACTGAAGGTTTAGAAAATTTTTAAAAGTTTAGCAGATATGCCATCTTGACCGGTTGCTTTTTTTAGATGATAATTTATCAATCTGTTTACTAATGAAGGAATTATTTACAGGTTGAAAATTGAGTTGTTTATCAGATTTAAGATTATTTCTTATAGAATTAAGGCTAGGGTGATTGTTGTTGATTGGTATTGAGTCTGCACCAATGTCCTTAGCAACATGTACATAAAATTCATTAAAAATATCACACACCTGGGACTGATCACTTACTAGAATATCATTTTCACATAAAATCATGTCCTTTTTTACAATAGTACTTTATTTGTTAAAAATGGTTTAACAGTAGGCCAAAATGATTTATTTTTACATCCACCTACACATCTCTCTAAAAAATATTTATTTATTGATTTTCTTTTAATACTTGTGACAAGATTTCTTTGTTTACGGTATTTTTCCCAGTTCTTTGATGTTTGTATTTATTATATGTATTTTGTAACATGCGTTTCTTATAAATAGCTTGTTTTAATGTTTTATTCATATATGGTACTGTCTGGTCCATTGAACGTTTACGTTTTAAAGGGGCGTGCTTGTCTGTGACTTCCATAAAAGTTTTGCTAAAATTTGTGTATGCCTCGTTTACATTTACAGTGTTCTGGTTTAAGTTTGATAAATTAGTCTGTAAATCCTCATTAAATTTTTCAATGTCAAAATTTTTAAAAGATCTATAATTAATCCAGTTTGGTTTTTTACTTTTAGTTTCATCTTTTAGCTGAAATGCAATCAGATTGTGTACATCACTCAGTCCGCAATTAAAATTACATATTTTCCCAAAAGAAGAATTGCTATTAGTTAAAATCACATCCAGCAGTGATGGTATACCATTTTTAGTAAAGCAGGTAGCCTTCTTAATTAGACTCGATAAGTTAAAAACATCAATAATATCGTTTAAAGGAGCACATTTGGTTGGATCAAGTAAATCAAAATTTAAATCACCTAGTAAGACATATTCATCATACTTAGAACTACATTTATCTAGAGTTGTCATGCAGTTTTGTTCGAAAGTTTCATTTGACATAGATGGAGGTTTATATGCACCCATTAAAAGCCATTTCTTTTTATTTAAGATTACCTCTATGAATATAGATTCTATATCTGTAAATTCGAGATTTGATTTTCTATCTCCAGCTATATCTGACCTTAAGTACACTGCAATCCCACCACCTTTGTCATTTCTGTCTGCTCGCCATAAGTGATATCCGTTAACCTGCCATTGTGCATCCGGGAAAGAACCATCTAGTTTTGTTTCTGCAATAAATAGAATATCAACAATATTTTTAATAAGAATTTCTTTTAAAAAGTCGAATTTGTTCCTTAAACTATTAATATTTATATATGCACATGTGAATTTATTTGGACTTTCTTTTTTAATATTTATAAGTTCATCAAAAATAGCTGGAATGTCATTGTCTTCACAATCCGATTGAATTGAAGAGTCTAATCTGATGTTCGGTTCGAAATATGAGTCACTAAAATGAAACGTGTTACAATTTCTGCACAACCAGGGTTCGTCGTCGTTACTTAGTTTGACGTATTCACTTGCTGAGATAGTAGCACATTTGATGTGCCACCATAAGTAGCATGCCTCGCAGTACACTGCACGGTGGTTTGAAGCTACAGGCCTGTAGCAGCCTCCACAGGGAAATTTAATGGGCCCTGGGTTAAGGGCAATGTCTCCAGAAAGCTGAATTATCAATATTTTTACACAAAAACGAAAGTCAATTGGTATTGCTAGATTTCTCCTTGTATACTGGAATATGTGAATATTTTATACATTATACAAGTTAAATGTTGATGTTGCACATCAGAGACGCCGCCAAATGATGCGAACAGTCAATCAGCATTGAAAATCGTTCTCTGCGCGCGGCGTCTAGTAAACTCTTTGTTCATTTTTTTGTGTCGCCTTGAAAAGGCGACATATAGGGGTTACTATTGCGGCGTCGGTGTTGTTGTCGGCGTCCCCTAAAGCTTGTCCGGAGCATAACTCAGTCTTTATAAGTCTGATTGACTTCAAACTTGGTATGCATGTATCTTTCAATAACCCGAAGTGCAGTGCACAAGGACCAGTACTCTGCACTTCTTAATTTTTGAGTCATTGCCCTTTGTTAATTTTCATACTTAAATTGTATGTGCTATTTCTCTTTAACTATAAATGCTATGGACTTGAAACTTCATAGGATGATAGATCTCATTAAGAAGAAGTGCAGTGCACAATAACCGGTACTCTGCATTTCTTATTTTTTGTGTTATTGCCCTTTGTTAATTTTCATACATTATTTTTGTCCGGGCCATTTCTCCTTAAGTATAAAAGCTATGGACTTGAAACTTCATAGGAAGATAGATCTCATTAAGAAGAAGTGCAGTGCATAAGAACCAGTACTCTGCATTTATTATTTTTTTGAGTTATTGTCCTTTGTTAATTTTCATACTTTATTTTTGTCCCGGTCATTTCTCCTCAAGTATAAAAGCTATGGACATAAAACTTCATAGGATGATAGATCTCATTAAGAAAAAGTGCAGTGTACAAGAACCGGTACTCTGCACTTCTTATTTGTGAGTTATTACCCTTTATTAATTTTCATACTTCATTTTTGTCCGGGCTATTTCTCATAAATTATAAAAGATATGGACTTGAAACTTCATAGAATGATAGATCTTATTGATAAGAAGTGCAGTGCACAGAAACTGCTGCCCTGCACTTATTATTTTTTGAGTTATTGCCCTTTATTAGTTTTCATATTTCATTTTTGTCCTAGCCATTTCTCCTAAACTATATTGTTCACAAGGCGACACATCCGACTCGAGGAGTTCTAGTTCTGAAGAGTTATTTCTTGCTGGTATTAAGGTGTGCAGCTTTAAAGGCCCATTATGCCCAAAAAGATGTTTTTATTTTTATATCTGAAAAGCTTTTAATTTTTGGTGTCCTTTTATAGTTTCAAAACAGATATTCATTGGTCATTTATCTGAATAATCTTTTGCTTTTTGAAAACAGTTTTAGTGATTTAGTATTTTGTGTGGAAGTTAAAATACTACTATGTTTACATTTTGCGACCTTTAAAAACAAATATTTTTACATTCAGCCATACTTTATTTTGCTAATAAGCATCTAACATGCTTTAAAGCATTATTTGAACGTTTTGATACTCATGTTTGCACTGCCTAACGTAGGAAAAAAGGAAAAAATTATTAATTTCTGAGGCATAATGTGCTTTAAGGAAAAACAGTTGATTCTAAGTTGAATATACTTTTTACAATGCAGGTGTATCAGTGATCTTTACATTTCAGAAATACGGATCATGGTAAATTGAGCAGGTGAAGGAATGAAGAAAACACCACCCTCTTTACAGTCAGCAAAATAACTATGCTTCCGGTTTGGAACTACTGCATGCCGTTACACATATGTGACAAAGAGATTTTAATCCACCTGATACGATTTGGTATCTTCCTGAAAATGTCATGTTAAACTTCTGAAATGTGTTTTTTCTGCCAAGTTTAAGAAATATATTACCATGTAACGGTCTAATATTTATGGCAATTATGAAGTAATGATTTTTGGCGTAGTAATAAAAAACAAAGGATGCTAGCTCGATTGGATTTTCTACATGAGCTTGAAAAATAACACCTTCATAAATGCCATGATGTGAACAGATTTTATTTGCTTTTTACATTGTACATCTTCTATTTACCAACATACTGTACCGTCAATGTATTGTAATGGCAATAATGAGTATAATTGCAATAATGAAAATTGCACTTTTTTGCAATGTATATTTCAAGTGGTGTAATAAGTAAAATTTGATCAGGAATGTACATTTATTAAGACTTAATATATATGCAAACATACTGTACCGTTAACATAATGGCAATAGTAAAATTGCAGAAATGAATGATGCGCATTTTTACAATGTATATTTCAAGAAGTGTAATAAGTAACATTTAATAGTTAATAAAGACATACTATAGGCCGAACAATGAGAAATAATGATAATTAAACAACGTCATGATAGAACTATCCATTTGAAATTTCTTAAGATTTAGATAATAATAACACCACCAAGAATATCTCCACTACCACAAAAAACAACATAAATGAAACAAAATGAAAACTCCAACGACGAAATATTTCATCATTCAAAAACATGCAACTATGAAAAAATGAAATTAAATATTAAAATAATTGTAATAACGACCAGAAGAACAATAATGAAATAAAAAAATGAAATAACAATATGAATGACATAAAATAAAAACAACAAAATGAAATGAAATAAACAATAATGAAATAAAATGAAAACAAAATAATGAAATAAGATAAAAGAAAAACAATAAAATAAAATAAATAAAAACAATCAAAAATGAAAATAAAAACAAACTGAAATAAGGTAACAAGAAATAGAATGAAAGAATAATATTGTCACAAGTGACCATTTAGTTGTTTACCTATAACATGCTTGACCTTAAAGTGACCAGCCTTTGTCACCAGTATGCAGCCAGGCCAACCTGCACGTCCGTTCAGATTGACCAGGCTCTAAACCGTTGGCTGACCAATTTCAAATTTGATTTTATTCAAGTTATATTCCCTAAATTGAGAATGAACGTATTCAGAAACGGAAGCTGGACAGGTCCGCTTCCGATAATATTATCAACCATATACATGATATAATGTGTTCCTTTATATTTTGAAGTATCATTTGTTTTTAAATGCTTTCAATAAGGAGTCACAAAGGGTTACTTTATAATTTTCATTTCCAAGCATATCCTCGTGCGTTTCATCGCCGGATAGACACTGATACCCACTGCCTAACCATTAACATTTATCTTGATTACATGTTTATAAACCGTGGGTATCCGACGATGCATGCGTTTATGCTTGTTTTTTGTTGATTTTTTTATTGTTGTTGTTGTTTTCAAATTTTTATATGATCTGACAAAAAGCTAAAAAAGGGGTGGGGGCTAGCATCATTTAGCTTTTTTTGTTCGCTTTTGATACGTTATTCTATCAATTTTTTAACTTTACTTGCCTTAATTTTTTAATTTTTTTAATTAATTAATTTATTTATCTTTATTTATTTATTTATTTATTTATTTATTTATTGTTTTGCAAATTACATCAAGCGAAAAGGGAGGCTACTTGTTTTAAAATACAGATTGATCTCCCCAGAAAATTCAAATGATAAGAACGGACTAAAGGAGACTTCTCTTCATTAAAACAAGTATAAAATGATAAAAAAAAGTCTTTTTCCCGTCAGTTTACACTTCATTACCAATTGTTCTTTTTTCTAACTGATAACTCTCACACACTTCGGTACTAACATTAACTTTTGGGGAATATGACTTTCATTATGCTACTGTAAAACTTCCAACAAATATCAATCAAAAGTAATAACATTTGGTTGTGAAAATTTAGCCGCAAAAGGCATAATGTTTAATTATCAATAGGGAGAGTAGTCGCCTCTTGGTCTTTGGTGTCATTTTAATTTTCAGGGGCGGTTACACCGTTACTTAATTATTAAAAGCAAGAGTGGTCTCCCTTTGGTCATACTTGCTTTTACAAATTCTACTGCAATATTAAATTTAACACCAAAAACAATTTAAAGGAACACACTATACTTCCTTTTTTACAAGTATACAGAACTTGAAATATTTCAACCAATTTTAGGGTAGATTTAATGATTAATGCTTTGATTTGAATCTTTTCACTTAGTATTATTTAAAATAGTTGGCTATAATTTGTTTCATGGGTAAACAGAGGGTAAATTTAAATTTTGTATTAAAGTTTATATATATCTGGAATATTTTAAAGAACAACATTTGACATTTTAAATCTATCTTGTTTCTTGGAAATGTCTTTGCATTTGTAAATATTTCTTTAAACAGATTTTAAAAATCGATTTCAGTTCTGGACAATATTTAAAATATCTCAACATCCTTCAAATTCTAAATAATTCTAACGATGTCCTTTCATAGTTTGAAACATCAATATATTTGTTAATATTTGGGAAAAAAATTGAAATTAATTTGTTTCGTGGGAACTGCTTTACTATCTAAACGTACATCAATGAAAAAAGCTTAGTTTTTATGCAGACCACTACTTGAATTAATTTAACTTGTGTCTGGAAAATCACTTGAAATATCTTAACTTAGTTTGAGCCTGGAACAAAACTTAAAATATCTTTACATAAGTTGAGTTATGAAGAATACTTAAAATATCATAACTTAGTTTTGGTCTTGAAGAAAACTTGAAACATCTCAACTTAGTTTGAGTGTAGAAGAATACTTGAAATATCTTTACTTAGTTTGAGTCTGGAACAATAATTGAAATATCCTAACTAAGTTTAAGTCTTGAAGAATGCTTGTACATCTTAACTGAGTTTGAGTGTAAAAGAATACTTGAAATATGTTAACTTAGTTTGAGTCTGGAACAAAACTTAAAATATCTTAACATAAGTTGAGTTATGAAGAATACTTAAAATATCATTACTTAGTTTGGGTCTTGAAGAATACTTGAAACATCTTAACTTAGTTTGATTGTAGAAGAATACTTGAAATATCTTAACTTAGTTTGAGTCTGGAACAATAATTGAAATATCTAAAATTAGCTTAAGTCTGGAAAAAATACTTGAAATATCTTATCTAAGCTTGAGTCTTGAACAATACTTGAAATATCTTAACTTAGTTTGAGTCTGGAACAATGCTTGAAATATCTTAACTTAGTTTGAGTCTGGAACAATACTTGAAATGTCTTGACTTAGTTTGAGTCTGAATCAATATTTGAAATATTTTAACTTAGCTTGTGTCTGGAACAACACTTGAACTATCTTAACTTAGTTTGAGTCTGGAACAACACTTGAACTATCTTGACTTAGTTTGAGTCTTGAACAATACTAGAAACATTTTAACTTAGTTTGAGTCTTGAACAATAGATGAAATATCTTAACTTAGCTTGTGTCTTGAACAACACTTGAAATATTTTAACTTAGTTTGAGTCTTGAATAATAGATGAAATATCTTAACTTAGTTTGAGTCTTGAACAATACTAGAAATATTTTAACTTAGTTTGAGTCTTGAACAATAGATGAAATATCTTAACTAAGTTTGAGTCTGGGACAACACTTGAAATTTCTTAACTTAGCTTGTGTCTTGAACAATACTTGAAACATATTAACTGAGTTTGAGTTATTCTTGAAATATCTTAACTGAGTTTGAGTCTAGGACAAAACTTGAGATATCTTAACTAAGCTTGAGTCTGGAACAATACTTGAAATATTTTAACTGAGTTTGAGTCTGGAACAACATTTGAAATTTCTTAACTTAGCTTGAGTCTGAAACAACACTCGAAATATCTTTACAAATTTGAGTTTTAACTTAGTTTGAGTCTGGAATAATTATTGAAATATTTAAACTTAGTTTGAGCCTGGAACAACACTTGAAATATCTAAACTAAGTTTGAGTTTTGAAGAATACTTCTAACATCTTACCTGAGTTTGAGTCTGGGACAAAACTTGAAATATCTTTACTCAATTTGAGTTTTAATTTAGTTTAAGTCTGGACTTATTATTGAAATATCTAAACTTAGTTTCAGCCTGAAACAACACTTGAAATATCTTAATTAAATTTGAGTCTTGAAAATACTTGAAATATCTTAACTTAGTTTGAGTCTAGAACAATAATTAAAATATTTAAAATTAGCTTAAGTCTGGAAAAATACTTAAAATATATTATCTAAGCTTGAGCCTTGAACAATACTTGAAATATCTTAACTAAGTTTGAGTCTGGAACAATGCTTGAAATATCTTAACTTAGTTTGAGTCTGGAACAATACTTGAAATGTCTTGACTTAGTTTGAGTCTGGAACCTTACTTGAAATATCTTAACTTAGTTTGGGTCTTGAAGAATATTTTAAACATCTTAACTTAGTTTGAGTTTAGAAGAATACTTGAAATTTCTTAACTTAGCTGTGTCTGGAACAATACTTGAAACATCTTAACTGAGTTTGAGTTTGGAACAATACTTGAAATATCTTAACTGAATTTGAGTCTATGACAAAACTTGAGATATCTTTACTTAGCTTGAGTCTGGAACAATACTTGAAACATCGTAACTGAGTTTGAGTCTGGGATAAAACTTGGAATTTCTAAACTAAGCTTGAGTCTGGAACAATACTTGAAACATCGTAACTGAGTTTGAGTCTAGGACAAAACTTTAGATATCTTAACTAAGCTTGAGTCTGGAACAATACTTGAAATATTTTAACTGAGTTTGAGTCTGAAACAACATTTGAAATTTCTTAACTTAGCTTGTGTCTGGAACAACACTTGAAATATCTTTACTTAATTTGAGTCTTAACTTAGTTAGAGCCTGGAATAATTATTGAAATATCTAAACTTAGTTTGAGCCTGGAACAACACTTGAAATATCTAAACTAAGTTTTAGTTTTGAAGAATACTTCTAACATCTTACCTGAGTTTGAGTCTGGGACAAAACTTCAAATATCTTTACTTAATTTGAGTCTTAACTAAGTTTAGGTCTGGAATAATTATTGAAATTTCTAAACTAAGTTTGAGTCTGGAACAACATTTGAAATTTCTTAACTAAGTTTGAGTCTTAAAGAATACTTGAAATATCTTAACTTAGCTTGAGTCTGGAACAATAGTTGAAATATCTTAACTGAGTTTGAGTCTGGAACAACACTTGAAATTTCTTAACTTACATTGTGTCTGGAACAACACTTGAAATATCTTTATTTAATTTGAGTCTTTACTTAGTTTGAGTCTGGAATAATAATTGAAATATCTAAACTTAGTTTGAGTCTGGAACAACACTAGAAATATCTTAACTAAGTCTGAGTCTTGAAGAAAACTTGAAACATCTTAACTTAGTTTGAGTC